TGTCTCAAACCCGACCGCTACAGTGTCCGACCCGCTACAGGTCCGACCCGCTACAGTGTCCGACCCGCGCTACAGTGTTCGACCCGCTACAGTATTTGACCCGCGCTACAGTGTCCGACCCGCGCAAAAAAATAAAGTTTTGACTATGCTGTGATATGAATCTGAAAAGTCTCAAAACATAAAAGTTGTAGATCTCTTCGTCATCTTTCCAACGCATCCTGAATCAGTCTAATCGGAGGTCGTACGAAAGAGTTATGACCAAAATACTGAAGATATCTCAAACTAACCCGTGCAGCGGCGGGTCGGATCAGTCCGACCCGCGCGGCGGCGGGGCGGATCCATCCGACCCGCGCCTACGCGGGTCAGATCAGTCCATCTCGCGCCCAGAACTGCTCGTAACCTCCAAAACGTATTTTTAGGCTGTTTCGATCGGTTTCTTCTGTTCCAGAGGTTCATAACTGCCTAAATATCATCCCCAAACGTGGTTAATCAGTTATTAACTGAAGATAAGGCCAAATAACTTGTTCTCATCTAAATAACCGCTTCCGAAGCCCTATAAATATAAGCATAGGGCCTCCTTTCAGCGGGGCGGAGTTATTATCAAGACGAGGAGGTGCTGCCGGATTGTGAAGTCAAAGGAGCACGAATCTCAGCGAGGGTTGACAGATCTTAGCGAGTTCTTCGGCATAAAGAAGGAGAGTTCGAGAGATCCGACGCCCGTTCCCGTCCGTCCCTTGAGATTAGGCTTGGTCTTAATCTCGAGAAGAGCCCTGATTTCGCTTGATCGATCTCAACGCTTCAAATCAAATACTTCCTTGGTGAAGACGAAGCTCTGCTGAATTTTTCATCAACCGGATCCAGATCAAAGGCAGTCCACGGATAAACCCCGGCACAGGCAAAGACACCCACGCAAGCAGAAGACCGATAAACGATCTCCCTGTGTTTGTTTGATAAAGTTATAAACTTGTTTTATTTTCATTGTGTAAGGAGATCTTATAAAAAGATCAACTTTTTATTTTATTCGAGTTTATTGTAATGACTAAAGTTGTAATAGATTCGATAGCAATGAAAACAGCAACTTTTGACGCAAACAAACTAGCGACCACAGTGGGTCACTCCAATTTGCAGGTCACTCCAATCCGACCCGCTAATTCGCAGGTCACTCGAATCCGACCCGCCGATTCGCAGGTCACCCAGATCCGACCCGCCAATTTGCAGGTCACTTCAATCCGACCCGTCAATTTGCAGGTCACTTGGATCCGACCTTCCAAATCGCAGGTCACCCAGATCCGACCCGCCAATTCGCAGGTCACTTGGATCCGACCCTCCACTTTGCGGGTCACCCAAATCCGACCCTCCGACCCGCGGGTCACCCAAATCTGACCAGCGCCAGAGTCAAGGCAGAAGATGTTCTGCACCTATTTCGTTGATCCCTGTGAGTTCCGCATCTCTGGTGGAGCCTCGTGACAGCATAGACTTGCCCCGTTTCAAGATAAGGATGACGGATCGTCTAGGTCCTTTGCATAAGGATCAAGACAAGGTTGCGATCAAAGAACGCTTGGGCCTAGTGACTGAACCCCGAGCAATTATTCGAGCTGGGGGTCGCACACGGAAAACTTTTGTAATTGACCGCCTCGGACGACGAATTAAACTCCAAGAGCCCGTCGAGAGTTCACGCTCACAAATGCGTGACTCTAAACGCGTGACTCTTGAGAACGCTAACAAGGAGTTGCATACTCAGAAGAAAACACGTAAGACAAATGAACGCGTTATACCTGAGGATTCATGTAAACAGGCGATAGGTTGCTCTGACGGTAACGTCAATGAGTTGTACTATCGGGCTGGGGGTATGAACAAGTCTCGGAAGAGATATACCCGAGAAATAAAATCTTACTGCCCGTGCACCGAACTAATCGAGGCAGTATTATCAGCGTGTAGCCGCCCCAAGACCACTCCGCAGAAGGTCTCGGTATTCGAGAGGATCTCCAACGGAATAGCTAAGTCCAGACCAAAACATCTCCGTAAGAAGCGATCGGCTGTTCATGATGACGAACTTCCAGAAGTCACAATTAACATGGCTGATAAGGGAAAGTCGATTCGACCTTCTAGTTCTGACCCTCTCGTAATCAGGGACCACTAGACGTAGGGACTACCAGAGAATGCAGAGAGGTTTATCATCGGATGATGAAGCATCAGATGCTAACTCGGTAATCGCTTCTGATAATACGGTATCCACTCCGGGACAATCTCACGAAGTGTTCATGATCAACACCGAGCAAGTAGCCAAAATGGTCGAGGATGCCTTGGCCAAACAGAAAGAGGCATTCAAGATCGAAATGAAAATGGCTATGCTACGGATGAGGAAAGAGCATGACCAACAAATTTGGTCTTTGTCAAATCAGCTAGGTGAATCCAGTCGTCGTAACAATGTCAGCCAAGCAGCTAGCGATTCAGACGTAGATGAATACATCAATGCTGATGACCCTCCCATTGACCAGAACGCTGGGGGTGGCCCTACTAAAAACAACGACGCTGGGGGTGGTCCTACCAATAATGACAACGCCGGGGGTGGCCTCGTTATCCCTCTTAAGAATCGTCCAAAACTAGATGCGAGCAAGGACGAAAAGATGAGTGACCTCGAGAGAAAAGTCAACGCTCTAATGTCTGCTCGAGAGGTAAAAAGGACCGGCATTCCATGTCCCTATCCAAGAGAATGGGACTCGATCACGTATCCGGCGAAGTTCAACCTGATTAACTTCACGCCGTTTGACGGGAAGAGTTCGCCCACACAACATCGTTCAACCTGATTAACTTCACGCCGTTTGACGGGAAGAGTTCGCCCACACAACATCTGATCTACTTTAAATCCCACTTGGGCATGATCTCCGGCAATGAAGCCTTGATGGTTCGGTCATTCGTTGGTACCCTTCGCGGGCCGGCCTTCGATTGGTACCGCCGTCTCAAGCCCGGAAGTATTAACAACTAGAACGATATGGAGAGCTCATTCCTCGGTAATTTCTTTGACGATGATGACGAGGTATCCATCAGGATACTTTTCGATGAGAAACAAGAAGATGACGAGACAGTCGACGACTTCGTCAAGCGCTTTCGGAAGAAAGCAATGAACTGCCGAGATCCGATCACGAAGGACTTCATCCTCCAGACATGTCATAACAACCTATCTATTGAGATAGTGAAAGTTATAGGAGTCGCACCGTCCAACACTTGGAAAGAGTTGAAGACGCGCGGAGAGCGGGCCGAATGCTTCCTCCGAAGAAAGAAAGCCGAGAGGAGCCAACCGACGGCGAATCTTCCGAACTCAAACTTCGCCTCCGAGAGGAGCCAACCGACGGCGAATCTTCCGAACTCAAACTTCGCCTCCCGTGGTAAAGAAAAGGCACCTGCAGCAGCTGTTGACACTAATCAGACGTCGCAACAGCATCCCCGAAGACAGCAGAAGACTTCGGATTCGAGGCTCCAAAAAGAGTACTCATTCAAGGACGAGGACGTTCCAGCCATCTTCGAGACCCTTCTTGAAAACAACAAGATTAAGCTTC